CTATTTTGCTTAATTTAAAAAAATATTTCAAGGACAAATTATTTCATAATAACACTTCGATAGGAACTTTAATGTGGAAATATACTTGCGAGATGTTAAATTCTTAAAGTTTCTTCAGCAATTTATAGACTTAATAAACAATATCTGAATGTTACTTTAAATAATGCTTACAGAAGAAGCTCAAAAATAATAATAGAAATAAAAAAAATATTAACTGAAATAGGGAATCTGACAACCCTGTATATATATATATAACTTTGAAGCACTAACAGAAAGGTAGTAATTACAAACTTAAAAATAATCTATATTGTATTTTATCAATGATTAAAATGGAGTTTATGGATGTTGTAACACCACAGTGATCAAAAATAAATAACATATAGTGTTAAATCATATAATATGGTGGTTTTTAGAGTTAAAGTCTAGATTACAAATGCATTAAAATCTATTACAAGATGTTTACCTATCAAAAGTACAGAAATTGATGATAGTGATAGTAATGTATTTTTAAAGTAATAGTGAACTTGGGTTTGCTTTTATTAGTTCTTAATGCACAAAAATGCAAAAATACTTTTTGAAAATCATAATGGAGCATACAGATATTCCTCTGGTCATTATTTAGTACAATAATGAATAAACTTTAACAGTATATGATTAGAATAGATCAAATAATTTGCAACATATACTATTATTATTTATAGGCCACTTCTGTTGAAATAGTTTCAGTAGTTTTGATATATATGGAGTTCTACCCTACATTCTTCCTCTCAGACCAGGACTCATGACCTCCTGCTTCTATAGCTTCTACTGAGCATGCCACACCTTTGGAATATTTAGACCAGCTTCATCTGTGTTTTCTTCTAGTTCTTCTCTTCATTTTTATATTTCTTCACTCTGCTTACTCAGATGTGTATGTTTGGGTAACTCATCTTATGTGTGATGCACACTGCATCAAAGGGGGGAAAAACTTCAAGAACCAGTAATGACCTCTTAATATGCTTTGATTCCCTTAAAATTTTGTCAACTTTAGTTTTTGATCAATCCACATAAAAGTATGGGGTGCTCCAAAAGCAGTTATTAATTTTGATTTTTACCTCCAGATAAGGGTCTCCCTAATGTGTATAGTATTTAGGTGTTAAGCATTAGGCACTGTATGTGACGTTACTGTTTGCATATTGCCTTAACTCTCTCAACATGGACTGGGTCAATTTGACCGATCATGTGACATCTTTGTACATGTTTAAAGTCTTTATAAATTTGATACTACTAATTTTTAATATGGTGTGTATATATCTTCACAAAATTTGTCAGTCTTTCAGTAAACATTACAAGTTTTTCACTTATAAAAATCTTTTTTAGTGAAGTACTTTTAACAAACTAAAAAGAAAATTTGTCCATAAATATACTGAATAGTCCATGTGCAAAGTGATTTTCCTGTTAAGATTAAAAATACTTTTCCTCTTTTCACAGATATCAAATTTCTAAAACCTCCCAAATAATTTCAAACTTTTCTTCCAGTAAAACTTTATATTTCATCTGTTATTTTCTCTACTCTGACTCAAAACAGGATCAGTCAATTTGACCGACCTCATAACCACCAAAAAAAAATCTAAATAAATCTAAATTACCCTTTTTTTCTTGCTAGAATGACTTCAAATTGTAGCATGAAACTACATTAGTTTATCCTAAGTAGCTTTAAGCTCGGTAACATTATACATGCAAAATAATAAAAAAAGCAGACAATGTCTTATAACTAACATAACTTTTCTGGCTTTCTAACTATGCAATAAGTGCCATTAAGAATTCAGCCAAACTTGTCAACGTGTTTCCCATGAGAATAAAGTTTGAACTGGAAGCAAATTAGACGATTCTCTGTACAGAAAATAATGTAATATGATATGTCATTTGATAGATTAAAGCCTTAGCTTTTGATTGGTTATAAATAATATAGTATTAAATGTAGGATAGAACTATTGGCAATTTCTGAAAGAGAGAATATGACAGGTGGGCATGGCAATTGGGTCTGATTTCCTAATTTATGGCACTGTAAACATACAAGATTGAAGGCTATAAAAATTATGCTTTGCCTGAGTAATAACTATATTATAATGAGCAATATATGTTAAATTACATACTTCTTTGAGAGGTGGTAAATAAATTAGAGAAGAGGGAAGACCTAGAGAGCAAACATAACAATTCTCATACTAGGATAGACTGAAGATTTTTAAAGATTTCCTTAAAAATCAAGAGCTTTAAACCTTTTATAATATCAAAATATGATTTATTAACTACAATTTGATGCCAAGTTTATTCCTATACCATTACAATAAAGTAGTTAAATTAAGTTTTGAATCTAACTCCCTAAAGTCCATGGAAAGAAGGTTAAGATAATGTAAAAAACTTGAGACATGATCTTTAGAATGAAAAAAATACAAAAGTACCGTGTATGTACTGTTTACAGAAGACAGGTCTGAACTCACTAGGGCAAATTTCTTGTCAACTAAGTTTAAAATTGGCAATTTAAGTGTTAGATAAGGTCAGGAACATCAATATCCAGTACAGGCCCTGGAGCAAACATCCTCACCGGGCTCCCCTTTCTCTTTCTATCTCTTAACATTTTTAAGAACTTACTAAAAAGAAGAACCTAAATTAGGACAGCAACAAGGTCATAAACAAAGCAAAAGCATAACAACAGCCATTTTTAGCTCATAATATAAATGTAAAAATTTTAATAAACTAACAACAAATATCTATTAAATCTATAAAGTACCAAATAACAAAAGTAACAAATTTATAATTATAATTCAATTTACTATTTCAATCAATCTTAATGTATCAAGGATCTATATGTATAAAAAAGCCAAAAACTATGCTTTTTATGATTAAATGAAGAGATAGCCTAAAGGTGGTTTGCAGGGTTTACTGCTTAACCAGATTTCATTTGCCCAAATCCCTGGGCAGTTGCCCCCTTTTTTTAGATGTCTTTTTAACACTTAATTTTAACCATTTCTAAATTTCAGTCTTTCACAAAAATACTTTTACTGGTCTTCTCAAAACTACCAGCTGAATCTTGTTTACTGGCTTTAAGACATAACCTACAAAATATGTTCTATAAATCTTTACATAATGAAATCAACTTCTTTCAAAATATCCTGAAAAGGAATGTTTTCCCAGAAAACCTGCTAAATAAAATTTTAAAATTTCTTTAGGTAAAAAACTGTTGAAACAGAATTATTATTTCCACTTAAATATTAATGTTTTATAAGCAAGTATGCACTTGACACCTGAAGAGTGCATAGTGGCCTAGTCCAAGTTGGGTTAATCATCATTCGCCAAGCAATAAAAGTACATAAACAGTGTCATTGCAGTAGAGGGGTGAGGAAGAGTTGCCAAACATATCATGTAACCCAGTTGATAAAGCATCAGCCTATATATTTGTTACTTAAGTTTAAGATTGGATATTTTCCTTTTTGTGTACCAGTATTAATGATCTATCCATCAAAGCCAAAGTACTTACTTTGTAAACTGTGTGCATAAACTCCTCCTTTAGAACTCTGAAGTACTGCACGTATTAATTTTGCCACTTCATCTCTCATAATTTTTTTCTTTTTATCTGCCATACTAATTAGGTCCCAGTTCTGTAACAATAAAAAATTTTTTTTAATATAATATAAATTAAATCCCGCATACTGTAAGAGTAAATATATGAAGTTACAGGTTTTATGAAATCCAACATTTAGCTACTGGCTTCTGCTTATTTCAATATTAATGTCATTGAAGATACATTTTTATAATTCAGCAGTCTATATATTAGTGTATTTCTACCAGTATATATCTGAAATTTTAATTTCAACTGTAAATAAGTGAGTTAAAAACGTTTAGCAAGTAGATAAACATTTTCTTTTAAACATGAAACCTAATGCAAGTCTAAAAGACACCAAGACTTAAAAATAAAAAACAATAATACAGTAAAAACATAGGTACAATACTTCACATGGCTCATTTGTATGAGCATTAAAAATGTTAAACACATAAATCAAGTTGTTTCCATTACTTCTACACTTTAGTTGAAATAAGTCTATTCCTGTTTATATGCATGTGGCTCAAATTTATTCAACTGTATATGAATATTTTTATCTAAGTGGTATCAAAACTGAACAGTACTAATACTCTACACTGTATACTAAGTTCAAAGAAATATCCTTATTCCTTTTATATTAAAAAATTGTATAAATTAATTCTACAACTGTCACAAATTTCTCCCATACAGTAATTAAACATTTGTTTTTGGCAAACAGCAAATAATCACATTATATCCTTTTACTTCTCCACAACATTTATGTTCTTCTCACTACGAGTAATACAAGAGGTAAATTCTATCAAAATTTCATAAAGCAAATACCCCCCTTTAAAAACATGATTAACATTAAGAACTCTCTAATCCTCAATCACCTACCAACTGTTTATTGACCTATCAAATATGAGAGAGAGAGAGGCTCACAAATATAATCTGCGACATCCCATAAAATCTTGGAGAAAACATTGTTTTGCGCTACTCCTTATCTACTATAAACCTCTCAATCTTTTTTTTCACCACTAAGGGATTAATATCTACATCATTCAGGTTAGTTTCAATATTTCCTAAGAATGCTCAGGATGTAGAATACTCTAGAAAAACAGATGAGAAAAAATGTTAAAAGCTCAGCCATCCTACAGTCTTCAATAAAAGCCTTCCCATCAACATCCTTTAATGGCTCAATCCCCATTTCAGCATTTTGCTTACCTCTAATGCACCTAAACAAATCCATCTGTTAGTTTAATATTAACCAGCTGTTTTCCATAAGGCCTTATTGATTTACTAATTTTTATTTTAACAAAATCCCTATGTTTTCTAGTGCTCTAAATTTTTAATCCTATTTGGCAATTTAAACATAAACTTGTAGCATTTATCCCCAATTTTCCTCTTTTTTGTACTCAGTAAGCCAATTAAGTTTGATTTTTCCTATTATCTTTTCCTTTTTTTAAAGGAACAAGCTTACCTTGAATTAAAAGCTGTTTATTTTTAAGCATTTCATAAATCTGTTCTCTTTCAAACCTTTTAACTCATTATTGTAACTGACTAATAATAAACTTGCTGCATAGCCTAAAAATTGGCTTTCCAATGATTATGAGCTAAAATATAACTTCTTTGTCAATATGTAGCTAGACATCAAATCTAATTATGCAATGATCACTCTTTCCCCACTTCAACTTTTGTAACCACATTCTTATCAGTGGTTAACAATAAATAAAAAATGTTATCCCCTCCGGCAATACCATTTAAGATTTTATTTGGAAGGAGGGAGGTAAATTGTTATCATCTTCCCTTTTTTAAGGTTGGTCAGATGGTTTATAGCAACTTCCAATTACAAACTTTCTACCTTTGGAACCCTTGACTGTAGCCTACAGTATGTAGATTCAACCTCTAGATTACCATATTTTATATCTTCAATCCTAACAGGCTGTAACTAACCTCGTTTGTAGAATATCTATACAAACCCTATTTTAATAAGTCTATAACTACTGAATAACCTATAACCCCCCCCCCCCCCCAAGAAAAAAAGCATTCCAGAAAGGGCTACACACCTTTTTTTTTTACCCTTAAATCTCTGAAGGAAATTTTTATACTTTTTAAGTAGCTCTTCCATTCTACAATTACTAGCATCATTTACCCCTATATGTACTACAAAAAGAAACTGCTCCTTGGTATTGCCAACTAAGTTATCAATGCGTTCAATAATATCCTGAACTTTGGTACCTGACAAAAAAAAATTCAAGTCCTAGACTTTTTATGCTCTATTACAAATAACTTCATCAGTATGTTTAATGAGAGTCCCATACTACATAAACCTTCTTCCTCACTGCAAGCAACCAGAGGTTAAAATCTATTAGACTGATACCTAAATAGTAAATGATCCTGGTGCTACAGCCATAACATTTTTACCACTGTTCACCCTTTCACTATAATGATGATGCAGACTGCAGGTTCTTACAAGATACAAATTTTCCAATGTATCAGGATTAACACGCATTTTAGTGGAATCAACAACTTTGGAGAACTTCTGTAGGAGGTATCCACATAAATAGCATAGATGATGTTAATAAAGAAAACCCATGTTTAAAATAATTCTATCTTAAACATTAATCGGCTCAGTAGAATAAAACTTTTACCAGAAGCACATTGAAAACTACAAGTTTAATTCATTCAGGAAAGTTTGGACATGTTACAGGGTGCTTCAAAATCATATTAAACTGTATACCCAAGTTCTTCTTGCAAACTACCTTTGTTTTTATTTCTCAACTTTCTTTCAATGAAACAATATTTATGACTGGAATCAAATGTGTGCAGGATACTGTAAGGACACTGTCTAGGACAGATGATACTTGCAGTAACTTTAACTATGGATAAATTTGATATGCTGAATGAAAGTGATGTAAAGCATAGTATAACAAACAAACATACCCGTCCCCAGTGATGAGAAAAGTTTAAGTTAATCTACCAACTTAAATTATTTAAAGAGTTATTGCCTTGCACTCTTGGTTTCACTCAAAGCCAAAGCTCTGAGCTATTTATACTGCCCACTGCAAAAAGTAACTGTTGACCATTTCAGTAATGCTAACAGACACTCAACAATAACATATGGTAAATCTACATTTTTATTCTTCAAGTTACATCACATTTTTGATATGTGAATGATAGTGTGATTAATTCCTAATAATTTAGTGTAGAGTATACTGCTTATGAAATAAAAGCTGGCATCAACATTATTCATGTCTGTTCTCCCATCATTTCAAAAGTGAATGTTGATCTTTGCCTGCACGTGCAGCTTTTCAACTAGGAGACAACAGACGAACACTTGGACAGATACCATGGTATCTATCTATCTATATATATATATATATAAGATGGATAACAAGGGACCATTTGATTCTCCTAGGCTGTTCTTGCACACCTGCTCTTTAGAAAAAGTAAAAATTTAACACTGCATACTGAACACCCTCTGTGACAGTTTTTGAAATACCCTATACCATGCCTAAGCTTTTCTGAAGAAAACTTATGATTTTCAATGTGCCTCTTGTGAAATTTGTAGTTCTTCTTGGACAAGTAGTTTTTAAAATAGTCATGTTAAATATGGAGTTTCCTTTATTATTACCCTGTTTAACAAATATTACAAACAGACCTTGAACTTTGAAGGACTAATGGTAAATCTCTGTATTTTTTCTATCATGAAGTAAATTTTCCACCCACTCTTACTTTTTCACATATATCATAATATAATTTACTAATCTTTTGTGCAGACATTACTAAAAGCTTTCTGAAAGTCATCTTACATATTTCCTTGTTCTCTACACCCCAAAAAAAGCCAAACTTTTAAAAACTTAAGTATAGCAAGAAAACTTCATTTCAAAATTAGGATTAGAATTATCTATTACATCAGATATTGTTTGGTTTTTTGGGGTTTATTGGCGCAAAGTACCATGGCTATCTGCAACAAACCACTGATGTTAAAAAAAACAAAAACAAGAACAAAATGTAAAACTCCATAAAAAGTAAAAAGAAATCAAGTTAAAAGCTAAACAATGTCTAAAAGGCTGGTAAAATACTCAAATAGAAGTTAGAAAGCAAAAGGCCCATAAAAAGCTAAAAACACAATTAAGTTGGACAGTGTCACCATCCAACACCAGATAATACATGTCAAGCAACAACAGTAGGTTTAATGTGGAAAAGCTTGTTATGAATCTGCTCTCCCCAAATCAACTGCCAACTGCCATGAAGCTGTGCCTTGATCACAGAACCATAGTCCATAAATGGAACAGCCAAGGCTGTGACAACATCAAAGAAGACAGACATAGCTGCAGTGTCAGGAAGCTTGTTCACGCAAATACCAACATGGTCAGGTATCCAGAAAAACTGGATAGAAATGGAAGATACAGAAAAATGAGTCAGTCATTTTTGACAAGAACAGGATGAGAACTACTGTTAAATGATTCCAGGACAAGTAGATAGTTAAGAGAGTCTGTAGTACAGTCAGTGTACTGCTCAGCTTCTACATGATCCAAGACAAGAGAAATGACATTCAACTTGGAAGTGAACACAAGCTGTAAAGGAAATCCTGTGAATAATCACTGAGCCACAACAAACCATAGCAGAGTCCACAAAGTCACCTGATTTCAAACCATCCATAAAAACAGGAACAGAAAAATGGTTCAAAAGATGTTCAGCAAAGAAAAGATGGTACTTCCAATCGAGAGTATCTGCCTTCCTCAGACGACTCAAAGAAAGGTCATAGGTGGGGATGGTAATGAGCCATGGCAGGATGGGCTGATCATTGGACTCAGCAATGTCATCCAATGACAAACCCAATTCAGCCAGCTATGCATGGATACGAAGGCTTAAAGGAGGAATGTTAGACTGTTTATTCTTGAACAGCACAGCCCACCAAGGAAGAAAGACGCAACCCAAGGTGGAATGTTTTGGTAAGAATGGAAGCTTGGTAGCATATTGCAAAGAAAGTTGCATTGATCTGCTCCCCAAGAGGTGGAAGACCTTTGATTTCAGGAGGAGTTTGCTATGGTGTGGCATAGATGTTTCTACTAAAATATCCCCAGAACGTAACTTCTTGACTGACTTTGGAGAGCCAGCAAGCCCATCTAATCCCTTCTGGATGAAAAAGGGGACATTTGCCCTAATAATTTCTCAGTCAAAGAATGAAGAATAAGAAAACAAGGAACTGACTTAGATGGTGACTGAGGAACAGAGCCTTCCATACATGGTCACTTACCTATTAACTGTTTTTTTATTATTTCATTTTATTCTGGATTTGGGGAACCATAAGAAAATGAAAATTGTTCATTACCCACTGACCTCACCCACCATGGAGTCCTATGAGGGGATGCACTACAATGCCAAACTATGACAATGTAGCTATGCCAGAGCTTTGTGAGCACTATACCCAAACACAAGCATCAGACACAATGTCTACAACACCAGTTGAGAATGCCTAACACTGGTTCTTGGTTGACCCCTAGCCCAACAAGACCAGCTGATTGATCCTGAGGAGCCACCCCAAGGCCACCCATCTACAGGAATTCAAGGGCAAAATGGTGTGTTAAAGTGCCACTGACATAAACTGATCCATTAATGAAACCCTTCAACCACCAGGATCCTCTCCTCCCTTTCATAGAAAGCTACGCACAGCAAACATGTGGGTGGTTGTTTAGATCCCAGATGAGGTAAACTGAAGATGAAGATACAGAACCTTCCCTGGTAAGTCCCCTCATCACACACATGAATCCACCTTGAGGAGTGTCAGATAACAAGGTTGTTAATGATCACTGAACATCGATACCAACATCTTCTGCACAACAAGTCTAACTAACAGCCCAGTTTTTGGATCCTACCTATATCCCTTTAAAAATAAACAACAACACATTTGCAATCTTTCTTTTACTAGGAACCTCTATAAATAAATTTGGAAATGTATCCTTTAAAGCCCTGACAAGTTCAGGACAGTCTCCAAATATTCTTCTTCCTCACAAGACAAGTAGCCAACAATTTCCAATACTGTTGAGTTTTCCTAAAATTGATGCCCTGGCATTTACTACACAACTGGTTGCTAAATGAAAATCAAAAGTAATAATATTAAAGCTCAATGATCTTGTGCAACAATCTTAACATAACATAGGAACAAAAATGGATCATCTGGTCCTTCAAGACTCTCCCTTTATTTTCAAGAAATAGTCTTCAGATCCAATTTTAAACTTTTACTAAACATCTCTCACAGTACCAAAACTGTCTAAAATGATTTTGCCTAGTAAGTCCCAATAACAAAATTTGACTCGTGGGAACTATTTTAGAACTTGTTCAATGACTGAAATAGCTTTTTGGATAGTAATGTAGGTAAGGTTTAATTATGTACATACACAAAATACTATAAGATTTGGATAAATTACTTCTACAGGCACATAAATGCAAGACCTAGATAAGTTTTGTAGCTAATGGAATGTGTCCTACACATCTCCTTGAGTTCAGTTAACTTTATGCTGGCTAAGACTTTCTTCTGCTACTGCAGTATCAGTTAATATATAATTTTTCCTTACCCGTGAATACATAAAATAAAAATTGGAAACTTACCTGGGAGTCGTATTTAAATACCTGTAGAAGTAATGTATCATCCATCTTTGACAGTATTTCAAGTGGGTACACAGCTGTGCCCCACCCTATATTTCTAAATTGTCAAGAATACTAAAATAAATGTGGGAAGAAACCAATTTTGTTAAGAATACTTCTTTTTCCATATGGAACTAAAAAAGTCACAATGAATAGGCCAGAATGTGAATCATTAGTTTTATGGCCCAGAGGGAAAATGTTATGTAACTAAGTTATAGAACAAAAAAAGGGAGGGGAGGTGATTTACACTGATTGTAAATAACTCTCTGATGAATGTATTTATAGAATATAATGAGGAGAGCATGTAAATTTCTATTTACAGAACTTTAAAATTTAATAACAAAAACTTACTTAGCCTTGTGAAAGACTAGTTATAGTTCATCTAGAATTCTGTGTACAGTGTTAGTCACCTTGTTATAGAAAGGAGGGCTATTAGAAATAACACCTAATTTCACTTAAACCACTAGACTGCTCATTAACTCTGAAGCACAGAACGAGGAGGAATCTGATTCATATTTTAAAAATGTTAGAGGTTTAGGCAATCTTTTTACCAGTTGAAATGAAAAGCCTGAAATATTTAAGGAAATAGGTATAAATTTTGGAAGTCTAGTTGTAGAGTTGTTTTCCAAAAATATTTTGTTACTTATAAAGTTGTTGGATACGTATGTAGTTGCAAAATTCCACAGATTGCATTGAAGAAACAAAAAAAAACACCTTTTAGTTTACAAGTGGTTGAATGTCAGATAACTATCACTTTGCCCTTTATGTTCTGAAACATGATAAACAAAAAAGCAGTCCAACATACACACAAAAACTTCCTCAGCTTGCATGAAGTTATAAGCTTATTGAGCAATTTATGTAATTTTATCCTACGTCCTCTTTGTCTAAAGTTAGCTATTTCTATAACATTTGGGTGTCAAAGTCTACATTCAACTTTTAATGAAGATGGTGTTTATGGTTGTTTGGAAGTTGAAAATATGGCTTTTGTGAACTGGCTAATCTCTTGTCAGCTAACTTGCTTATGTTTTAGTAAAATCAAATATAAACACTCACCCATAAAATGAGGTTTTTCTAATATAATTATAACTTTCACATTGTATTGATCCAAATCATTTCATCCACATATAATAAATATAATTCCTGTAAAAGTGACTCCAAACTTGTCATTGGACACACTTCACAAAATATTCAGCAAAATCATTTTCAATTTCCATGCAGAAATACCCAAAAAACCTAATGCCAGTTACTTTCAAGAGGTTAAATATGTTTCTAACTTACACTGTTACATGTGCTTAAACTTCAAAGCCTCAACTGACACAAAAAAATGCTCTCACCAACTCAGCCTAATAATTTTTCTTTTGTTTAATATTAATAATAAGTCTTAGCATGCTTAATTTATGCTAAAATTTATTTACCTAAACCTTATTGAAACTGAAAGTACAACATTGCTGTATAACTGTAAGTTAATTTTATCAGTAATGTATGAAAATTAAAACTAGTAAGCCCAGATAGTACTACTAGCATTAGCATCTCAATTCTTTTTTATGTTACTCGCCCTTAAACTTTAAATCTTAAGTTAATAACATTTTCATTCTCATTGAAAATCTCCACTACATCATCATTACACGCCTACACTACAGTACACAGTAACATCAGTGAACAATCAAATAAAACTTAGAAATCAAATCAGAGATACAATGACTCATAAGCATCGTAAGACCGTGAAATTTATGCTAGCCTCTAGGCCTAACTGTTATGTAAACACATAATAATAATAATAATGCTATATTACGTACACTATCGACTTCAATTTTTGATAGGGAGTTTAGTTATGGTTTATGCTTAATCGACAAGGTACAATTAATTTCAAAATTCGTATACCTAGTGTTAAGTATTATATCGATAATCATAACAATTAAAAATTTAGTTATAATTTTTTTTTATTTCTTAAAAGAAAATTCTAAATACGTGTAGTATTTCCACCTCACTTACGAATCTACTTACAAGTACTAAAGCTTATTTTCACTCATACTGTACTGTGTTCCTTATATTTCTTCGTAATTGTTTTCGCTCATTTTATAAATCATCTGCTAATGGGTGACGCAATTCGTTTCGTAGTGTGGAACATACACGTTAGGTGACAGGTGGACAAAAGCCAAATTATAAACATTATATTCGTTTGATACTTAGTGTAAAATGTTAAACGGTCATTGTTGAAAGAAATTATTAAACAGTCACATTATAGCGTGCTTGTGTATAAAATGATCATTCGAAAGAGATAGCTAAGTACGAAATAGGTGTAATTATTAAGAGCTTCCGGCCAAAAGTAAGCTATCTAAATATATCATATCTAATAATAAGATGGGAAACAACGATTTATAATCATAATAAAGTATTTTAATTGGAGGAGACATCAGGGGGATTAAGGCAGGGGCTATTGAGGCTACCCCCAGGCCCAGGCTCAAAAATGGCCCATTATAAAAAAAAGACCAGTCATTTTTTTAAAGGAAAATGCTTAATACAAATCATTCGACCGAGTCTAGTTATTTTTGAAGAGGGAGAGAGAGTTTCTGTGTAACGTGGATAGGCCTATCGTGTGATGTAGGGTGAAGATATTTGATTGGCTTTACTCCGCATAGAGCAACTAGGAGTATCCTCACTCTAACCTAGCACACTTGCATACAATTTGCAGTGCAAATGTGCTAGATCTAAGCGAGGCTAGACCTAGTCACGCTAATCGAATGATAGGCTATAACTAGGAAGCCAACGGATTTTCGGGCTTCGTTCTCTAGTGCTGAAACCCGTGACATCCAACACAGTGGAAATAATAATTTAAACACTAAATCTCTGGATCCTGTGACCGTCAACCTCATCATGTTTAGTTGAGCCCTTGCTCTCAATCAGAAAATGCCGAAAACATAACCGCCAAACAAGACTGTGAGAAAAAATCATGTATATATAACAATTCTTGATGCCGATGACTGTCAACCTCATCGGACTGAATCGAGCCCCTATCAACAGGAGTAAATGAATTATTGCAATGATGATGAAGATACTAACTCATGCTTTACATTTGACATTGGGACATGAAAACGAGCGTCTTACGAACTGAGAGATTTTGTTTGTGAGTCCCAGATTATCTCTTGCCAGAACACAGCTACGGATTTCAGTGCATCTACAAAATCGATTCTGGGTGTCAAGTATAAACGCCAATGCTCAAAGATTCTTTTCTTATCGCGATCAATTGAGTGGAAAAAAGGTAAAGGTACTCACCACTGAAGGGAATGTCTTCTACGTTATATGCAAATTGTTTTAAACAACAGTGAAAACGTCTTCACTAACAACAACGGTTTATTCTGACTGGAAACATGCTGCACGGGATTTTAATCGGCACGTAACAAGCTCACTGCATCAAAGTTGCATCACCAGACTTGTTATTCATAAAAAACCAAAAGTCGATGGATCAAAATTACTTTAACAGGGCAGGTGGAGTTTAAGAAAAAATACTGGCACCAAGTTCTAGAGCATATTATCTCAGTTATAAAGTTTCTATCATCCAGAGAGCTAGCATTCAGAGGAAGCGATGAAGTAATTGGTTCATGCATAATGGCGGTTACTTAGGGATACTGGAGCTGTTGACTGAATATGATATATTTCTTGCTGAACATATTTAAAAATGCACAATTAAGGAAAAAGGTTATGTTTCATACTTATCCTCAACTGTTTTTGAAGAATTCATAGAAATGATACACAAAGAAGTTCTCACTGCCATTATCTAGAAAATCAAAATATCCAAGTATTATTCAATGTCTGTTGGTTCTACTCCAGACATATCCCACAGAGATGAACTGACAATAATTTTTAGATACGTTCTAGACGATGGTCCTGTAGAGAAAATTGCCATATTCTTACCAATAAGTAATCACATAGGAGCAGAACTTACTAGAAATCTCATTAATTTCCTTGAAAATAATGATATAAGAATTCAAGACTGCTGTGGGAAGTCTTCAGCCAAAGGATCCAATATGAACGGTAAATATGTTGGCATGCAAGTTTTGATCAAATAGAGGAACCCCCTAGCAGACTATGTTCTACTGTACTCATTCACTGGTTGGACAATGCGCTGTGGGCTGCTGTATTGAAGCTTGTTTATTCTTTACCTTTGTGCAGACGTTTTATGTGTTTGTCTCAGCTTCAACTTGCCTGTGGAAGCGCCTATACGATGTACTTGATAATATGTGATTTCTGACAATAAAGAGATTATCAAACACAAAATGGGGTGCCCATTCACATACAATGAGAGCCCTAAATATGGAGTACAAAACCATAATGAAACTCCTCGATTCCATTACAGATGATAACCCTGAAAAGCCTCAAGTGTGCTTAGAGTCAAGAAGCCTTATGCTACATTTGGAACAACTAGAAACAGGTATGATGACGGAATTATGGAGAATTATCCTGAGCAGTTTCACAAAACAAGACGTTCATTACAAAACACTCAAAATGTCAGTACAGCTTCTCATTTGCTAAATCTCACAAGACATTCGTGCAAGAATTACAATATTCATTTCCCGAATATGAGGGAAAAGGTAACCAACTGTCAGAATGCGTGTCATATATGGTGGAAAGGTCAAGGAAGAGAAATGTGAGATGGAATGAAGGAGATGCTGAGGACAGTGATTTTTCACTCTTTACCCAATGTAAAGTTCAGACTTTCTTAACAATGATTGACAAACTGTCACTTGCAGTACACAACAGAACAGTGGTATATGAAAACGTCAGTTGCAAATTTGGGTTTCTAAAAACTTAGAGTCCATGCCTACAGAGGAGCTCTGCAATGCCACCAAAATGTTGGTTAGTGCATATTCTACGGACTTGGAGAGTTGAACAGAGGAAGAAGTTCAATTTGCCGCCCTATGCAGGGCAGAGTTCATTGAAAAACCGTCAGAATATAAGGGAAAAAATATGCTGAGAATGATATGCGACCAATCATTGAAATCAACTTTCCCAAACTCCTGATAATCTTAAGGATATACCTGTGCCTAATGTCAAGCTAAGACAGGCTAAATACATTGGCACTTTTGTGCTAGAAAATGACTTGTTAGAATCACTTGAAATCAAACATATTATTGGTGCTTTCGTTACAAAAAGAACCAGGAAGACAGTAGTTTAATCAAGTACAGATGGCATGATCTGCTACTGCTGTTGGACATACTATGTGTGTACCGATGTGATCTAAGCATGTGTGTGTGTGTGTGTTTGTGCAATGTTTTTTTTTGTGTGTGTGTGTGTGTGCGCGTGAATGCGTAAATTGTTGAGTTTATCTGCACTTTGTTTTTTTTTTTGTCTTTATACTTTGTTGTCCAAATGCAAATTTTGTGTGTGTTAGAGCACTACATTTCCTATTCAAGACACATCTAACATTATTCATTAGTTTGTTAACAAGTCTTGTAAATGTGTGGTACAGTAGTTGACTATATGGAGAATATTCAATGAATGCTAATCAAAGCAGGTTGCCTGTATAATCAGAATTAAGTATTAGCTTAGTATTTGATATAAACAATTTAATATACCGATATAATTAGGAGTATAAACAGGAAAGCTATTTTGAATTTCAATAGGGGTAACTTTTACTGGCGTCCCAGGGAAGTTAGTCTTCTGGATGGTCTTGAGTTTTTTAAGGTTAAAATGTAAAACTCAGTTTACTCTCTTGGAGCATTTGTCCGGATTATTTCTTATAATATTTAAGAAACATTCAAATAACGCAAACTACACAATAGTGACCCTTTTCCTTGCCCATAACCAAATGGCACATCTGAGAAAATGTCAAAAACAAAAATTATAATTGTTATTGCTGTTATGATATTTTCGGCTAAATTGCACCGTCGTCCTACCATTGGTTCCAGTATCAGCAAATTCCCACAAAAACCTTTCAAACAACTGCAAATAACCTATGAAAACTAATTTATCACTTACTAACGACAAACTTAATTAGTTTAACATCGGACATATTTTACTGTTTAGCTATAGAGTTGGCAGGACTAAGAATATCAGTGGTGTAAAACAAGGTGAAACAAAGGGGGCCCGACGTATACGGGTCTGAAAGGATAATCAAAATGTATACAAGTTTTATATAAAAAGTAAACTGATAATAATGAAGGGCAAAATAATATTTGCAAATGACAAAAAACAATAATAACTTGATCGATTTTTACCTCCATGCTCAACGTACTGAGCAAGCTTTCAAATTTTTTTCTTGAAGCTGTTTCTAGATTAACTTCTAAATAATAAGGAGACACATGTTTGTCTTGTGCTAGAACTCTAGATTTCAGAGCTGGTGAGTCGAGTTCGTTTAAAGAAATGAAATTAAAATTGGCGGCGAAACTGATAGCTACACATATAGTATTTTACCCACCATCATACCCAAAGTTGAACAAATAATTCGGTCGCTAACTAGTGAATGAATATTTGCTGTAAAATTCTTATCAATGCTATAAGTGTATCTACCAACTGGGCTGCCAATTTTGAGTTCATTCCCTTAAGTCGCACGTTGAATCCTTTTTGGCCGCATCCTTTTTCACACCTAAGATGCTTTTGATTAGATATCATGACTTTTTGTAATTACACACTAACAAACCACACTAAATAAGAAAGTGACACTCGATAGTAACCCACATTAGCTTTAGGATCGCAACCCCATTATTCGGAACAGACCTTTACTTTACCGAACCAACCAGATTCTTTAAAATCTACCATGGTCATTTTTTCCTCTCTAAAACAGTATTAATAGTTTTATTTATATTAACACCATCGAATTTAGATTGACAGTTTCTTGTCATCACCCCATGCAATCGGTACAGCGGTATCAAGCATCATTATTTATGCTAATTGCTTAAGCTAATATCACGTGATGCTAAACTCTCTTTACTTAGGAGAATTTCATAAAATTTAGTAAATTTGTGCCGAAAAGTTGGCAGTGAATAATTAATGATAACCGCCCACCGGTATAATTCTTTTGAAAACTTGAGCTAGAAACTGCTAATCTAGTTTGCTTGGCCAAACCAATACTTATGTCTCTGTATGTCTTTTCACCTTATAGTTTTGTTCAGGAA